CCTCCCCCTTCTAGGCCCATAAACAACAATGATCACCATGCCAAGCTTCACCGGAAATCTGCTGTCGGTGCCCGAGAGCGAGAGAGAGCCCTGGTATTATTACAGTATACGAAACATACCTCCTCCGTTTTAATACTGTAAATACCAAATTCGGATACATACAGTATTTACCGGGTTTCGAAAGAAATCCGATACATGATGTAATTATGCATAAATTATGCATCCTGTTTAGGTCCTCGTGAAATACTAACTCTACCCTAAGATATCGACCTGGAAACATAGATCGGACCTACGGTATATGAACCTTATACTATACACGCATACACAGTATAACATACTGATTCACCAAGTTTGACGCTCCCCCTAAACTTCTCCAGAGTTATTTCCGGTATCTCTTTCATACCTACCGATAATCGAAACCTCATAACTGACCTGATTGATTACTGTGTACATCAAACGCTAGAACCCAATAGCGGGATTCCAGAAACGCTTGGCAGTAATCAGGAACCACCATTTCCCACGATGAGTGAATTTCCAGATGATCCCACTCAATACTATACCTCCAACCACCACAATTCAGTAGTATACTGTTTAATTCTTTCCCTGCATGGCTTGCTTGGCTCAAACTCAAGCTGCCGCCCCCATGCTGATTAATGCAACATCATCATTAGTAACCCCAGCCAGCCAGCCAGCCATGGAAACTTCCAGTCCGGGACGGAGACTTTTTTTTTTTACTTCTTCACTAGTGAGTCAAAGTACGTAGTAGACACACGGAGACTTTTCTTGTTAGAAACTAACTAACTAACTCATTAAGTAACTAGTGTACGCACACGGAGAAGCAAGAACCACTGCGGATATTGCGGATATAACGGTCCAATCCCGGTGTCTCTATACCCGCAACCCACCTAGTTTTTTTTTTCCTTGTCTTGACAAGGCTCGATCTGGTAATGTGTGTGGATCCCCACATGCAAACATCCACCCACCTGAGGCTTTTTCACTCCCATGCTGTTTGCTTCTGCTTCAGGTGGATCACCATAACCCCCGTTTCGTTTCAATCTGGACTTTGCTCGCTGCTCTGTAGACCCGCTTCGGATACATATCACGGGTGATAAGGGTAAATCGGCACGTCGTGATCATGTGATGCCATGGATAATCGGATGATTGCCAAGACATTTTACAGATCCAGGGAAAAAAAATAATAATCGTCAAAAATTTTCTGGCTAGTAGCGGAATTAAAAGACGGAGAATTCCGTAGTCTAGATAGATAGATGTCCCTGCCCTCGGCGATGTACGTCCATGCCCATGCCGAGCCTAGGCACATAATAATCTCTCTCCACCGATCGGCCGTTTATTGATTCACCATGGCATGACTCTTTCCCGGCAGTTTACCTCGGGTTCTCGTTGTAATTTTGGCTCTGTTTTGGTCTACTCCCTCCAGGCCTTATACACAATTGTACTACCGTACTTCTTCCCCTTCGGGAGAATGACCGTGTGCCGCCATCCGGGCTCATTGACCGCATTGACAAACCGACTGGGTTCGATGCAGAACCCCGCAAATGGGCCCCGACTCGGTTTCCCGTCTGTCTCGGGTACGTCGATGCCTTGGCCCGTGTAGAATTGGAAGGCCGGCTCCGTGCTGTGCACTTGCAGGTGCAGACGCGTGTCTGGGTGCTGGAACTCGGCCAGCAGGCGGAGGGGCTCACCCCGCGTATCGAGGGGAACGCGGGACAGGTCGCGGTCCATAACGAAGACGTCGTCGAATTGGTTCTGCGGGCCGAAGGTGAATTCCTTGGTGACTTCGCTGGGGTAGGGCTCAATGGGGCCCAATGGGATGCCGTTCTCTAGGGGTAGGTAGTCCTGTGTTGATAGTTTGGTGATGGTGCCTTCGGTGGTTGGGCCACCGTTGAGGTTGAAGTAGCTGTTTGAGATAATCAGTATCCTATCGCTTCAGTGATTTAGATTAAATGTGACAGACATACCTGTGGTTGGTCAAATTAACAACTGTCTCTTTGCACTCGTCGCCCACCAACTCAGCCTCGTATTCAATCTTCAGCACGGATGTAGTCTTGCCATTCTCCACCTCCTCACTCGTGGTATAGTAGACCCTCAATTCTACTGTACCTGGGTATCCTGCCTCCCCATCACGACTCAGGTACGTATACAGCAGCGTGGTCTTTCCATCGCGGTTCAACACCGTCGGACCGTCGAATTCGCAGCGACCCCATCCACGACTACCTCCGTGCAGCGCATTCGGAGGATCGTTCAGTTCGAGTTGATATTGCTGTCCATTGAGAGATTGAATAACACCGTCCTTGGTGCGGTTAGCGACGCGTCCAATGTTCGCGCCGAACCAGGGCGAGTTGTGCTTCTCGTAGGCTTCTTTCGTGGTGAATCCCTGAACGATGTTTTGTCCGTCCACGTTGAATTCCTGGATGATGGCGCCGAGGGAGAGGAACTTGGCAGAGGTTTTGTCGCCCATTGTGACTGGCTGTGCTGGATTTTTGCTTCCTTTCTTTTCTTTTCAGTAATGCAGACGTGTCTAGCGAGGGGCAATTGGAACTTTTAGAGAGCAAGGAGTAAGAAAGCAGTCGATATATGAAGAGGGGTGGTCACTCACTTTCCGCCCGCTACCCCGCAATTCTGCTCCAACTGGAGAAGAGCAACCAATACGGGTGTCTCACGCTGGAGAGCTTACGTCCTTTCAACCACTAGGATTGGTGCGACGATAAGGTAGATAGTTCCTTCTTCCTTGGAGGTTCATTTAAAGTCGGTTAAATTTTCCAGGATCTCCATGCCTGAATGCCCATTTTGCGCCTTTCTGTCTCATATTAGGCTAAACCGCACTTCGTAGCATGTGGTGAATTTGCCTAATCGGGTAATCTTCCGGATGGCTTGTGCCTCAGGCAGAAAGATGCCCATGTCAGTGTAGTTCGATCATTGCTGTGTCATAGCTTAAAAAATGGACATGGCTTGAATTGTGGCTAGTTGGAGCTTCCATTCCATCGTATTAGTAGTTTAATGCTTTGTACTAAGGTTGTGTTCTAGACATGGTTAAACTAGTCCCTTGGCCTGACTACCTGCCATTCCTTCCGGCGGGATACTGCTTACGCTATAAGAGGAACAGCGTGGGATGGATAGAGAGTGAGTTAGTCGCGGCATCCCACTTCCTCATTCCCGCCCATTACACAAGCAATCTTCGAGGTCCTATCGAGGTCCTACATCTAGCAAGAAATGGAGAGGGGGCTATCATCCAGCCCAGTAGACTACAGTGCACGCTCTCTTCCCCATCGCCGAAAGGGTCCCCGCAGAAATGATGGATATCTGACACAAAATGACTCATTCGGAAGGGCTTGCGAGATCCAACAAGTCTGACCGTTGAACGGCTGCAGGGACCAAGTTCCTAAATCCTTAATACTACAACTTAAGTTGATGGTTACTTAATAGTAAAGGGAGTCAAGTGGGAGTTGCATAGGTGGAATTGCGTTACGAAATGGATCAAGACAAACAAGACAGCGAGACAAACCGTAAATAACCGTATGTCATGTCATACCATAACGTACTGCCAACTAGTGCCGGATGACAATACGCCAAGTCCGAAACGTGGAGTTAAGGCGAACAACCGCTCCGAAGCTGACAAGAAGCTCCATCAGTCAAATCGAACTTACGGTCACTCAACTAATCAATTCAGACTGTAACTAACTGAAACCTCGGGTCGGTCTCCGCGGAGCTTGGGGCTTCCGTGCCGATTCCGTAAGCCGCTGATTCAGCGCTTTTAACCCAAGTGTGGAAGCGAAAACGAAATACTTCTTATTAGTCTGCAATCACAAGAAAACAAAGTATTGGAATAAGATAGGATAGTGTGAACCCAGTTTCATCTATAGTTGAGGCGATCGTTTCTTGGGTTCAACCCCTGAGAGTATTTTACTTACTGTGGCAATCATGCTCTTGCCACCTGGATAGCCCTATCTTGTACGGAGGTAATAGTAGCTCTTTGCTTTTTGATAATCCCGTCCCTACATACGGTAGTTGACTAGCACTTCGACCTAGCCACGGCAATTGAAGTAGATGCTACAATGCTTTTACTAGGCATTCATTTGCTCCCATACTTGCATTCGCAACTTGGCCGAATGGCATATGGACTATGGCATATGACCTCGTAAGAAGCACAGCACAAGAAATCGCGCGGCCCCCGGGGATCGCAAGAACCGTTGCATCGGCATTCGGCATTGCTAAAATGGACCCCTTATGTAGATAGCAACTACACAGCACTAAGAAGTACCGGGAACCCCTATATCATGCATTGATAGACGGCCAAAGCAACGACATACCCGGGCCCATGGCCATTAGAGTAACTCCGAGAGTTGTTCTCCGTGAGTCACTGAGTACTTTGTGCCAATAGGACAAGCACGAAAAGTGGTTTTTGTCGAAATCCTGATCTCAGCATGAGTTCAGGATTATAAATCCGTCGATCGGGCTGCCAGTCCTCAGCCTGGTATAGTGGCTGAGCGGTCTAACCCCATATCAAAGCGTCCACTTGACAACAACATTACCACACCCTGATGTGAGCGCTGCATGCAGATGTTCTGGGGAAGTGTGTGTTGGTGGCCCGCGATGACTACTGACTAGTCCACAGTAACTACTTAGTGGTAATGCAGTGACCTACTGACGGGCCCCCGGGGGTGCATTACCCGTTTGGGTGTCACTGGCCTTCCCAGTATTTGGATGATTATTGCCAGACAAGACAATTGCTTTGGAGTCTTGAAAGGGGGGGCTGACTGGAGCCCATCCTTGCCCTACTCCGTAAACACATTGCAGTTAACCCTCACAGTCCAGTCCCTTCGGGAAGAGGGAACAGGAAATGGGGTTCTCCATTTTGGGGAACCAGTATCCATCACCTGGATCAGGAAGACGGAACGGAATTAGGGAGATGGGGACCGTGAAGAAAAGAACCTCGAGGAATAAAAGAAAACAGAAAAAAAAAAAAAAAAAAAAAAAAAATCTTAAAAATCGTAGTCCTATACACGTGGAACAACAGGAGATGGACAGCTTCCATTGCCAGTAGAAAACCGCGTCGAATCCTCCGTAATCCGGAGGGAAATCAAGGTTCAGTCCCTTCCTGGCAAAGAGTGGGCGCATTCCGATGGGAACTCGGATGTCGAACCAGGTAAGCGATGCTGGTCACTCACTGGCACTGACACACGGTCGGGAGGTCGGCATTTCGGCCTGTGTGCTGGTCCGCCCGTGGCTGACCAGCAGAATCCACTCACTGTCTATCCACACAGCCAGATGAGGCAAAGACTCCATGGAAGGAAAGAAGAAACGGAAATCAAAGAGAGAAACGAACAGGAAAAGGCAGCAAAGAAACAAAAAAAAAACACCTCTCTACCCCTTCCCACTCTCTTACTCCCTCCCCACCAGCGGGTGTGTGGGCTGGGCTGGGCTCCGTTGTGCCAGACCCAAACATCAAATTGGGCTCCGTCGTATCGAGGGTGGAGACTTTTGGACCCTCTTCGTTTTTTCATGGGGGATCCATCGGCCAGGAAGGACTTGTTGTTCATGAATTTCTTGTTCAGCGATTAGGTACCCCCCCGGCCCTCTTGACCATCACAGGGAATATTGTTGCAGGAGGGCAGTAGGGTTCACTCGACGTGTCACGATCTACCTCGTATCCCCATCGATGGCGCGTGAGTGGTCCAGCCAGTCTAGATGTGGCCGGAGATAAGCTAAAGCTGTCACCGGCCTTTAGAATTTGATTATCCATGACGTCCTCCATCACCGCATTAGTCACTCGTGGGAGGTTGGAACGTCATCTGGGCTTAACGAGCAGCAAAAAAAGGTTCCTGGCCTCGGCAGTCGGTCTCCGTTGGCCGATACGCCCTGCGCCCTAGGCCAAAGTTCGGCCACTTCTCGGACCAAGATTGAAGTAGATCAAGTCTATAAGAATAGAGAATAAATTGTATATTTTCAACGTCGGAGGCATAAGAATGACATATAGAACATCCGAAACTAGAACCAGCATCGGCAAGTATCCACGCAAAAGGATCCAAAGAGAGAGAAAACCAACCGCCCTACCTATTTCAAGAGCCCGTCCAAATGTTTTGTGTGAACTCCAACTCCCAAAACACCTCGGCGCCTTCATCGTTAGAAAAAAAATATAAGCCAAAATATAAGATAGAGGATGCTGTCCCCACAAGAAAAGAAAGGAAAAGAATGTGATGCCAGTCACCCAAAAGAATCCCACTGTACAGCTATCCAATTACCCTTCTAAATGAAGGTGGGTGCTGCCATATGTTCAAAGTAGTCCCAATGTCGAAATGTAGCATGTAGTAAATACACGCGTTACGTCGTACGGCGTATGCAAAACAAATGTCAGACAAAAGAAAGACATTAATATGCTGAACTTCGTCGTATCGTAGTGATCTCAGGTCGATGCAATCTCGGGCGCATTGGCATTTAAGAACTGATTGATGTCTTCATAGTCACCCTTTGTGTCCATATACGAGGAAGAGGAAAGCATGCAGCTCATCGGTAGTTGACGGTTGAACATTGGCGAGGGAACCTGGTCGTCAAAGGACAAATTCGTATAGTCGGAAGCGCCTATTAGATCCATATCGTCGAAAGCGCCAAAGTTATTGTTGGGCCATTGTTGCGGGGTCTGAAGGGCGAGGGGGTTCACCACCCCTTGCATGGTCATGGGCGCAACGAAGGCGGGATTCGTCGGTGCCATTTGAGGCTCTGATTTGATAGTGGGACCTTGCGTTTGGGACGGTGTGCTGAAGCTGGATTGTGTACTCGAGAGCTGGCGAGCAAACGGGTCTGAGAAGCGGGAGGGCATGATAGGTGACTGCGCGCTTTCTGAGCTACCATCGGATGACTCCTGGCGTTGCATGTGTCCGGAATTCTGCCTCCAGAGATCTTGCTGCATGGCCTCGGTGTTCTCTTCGAAGCGCTCACCCTTGGTCTGGTCCAAAGCGCCGAGTCGTGTAAGCAGATCGTGCGTTAGAGGATGGCCGTTGGGCTCGCATTTCAAGGGCTCTCCCGGCCAGCCTTCACCCTCCAAGGCGCGACGGTACATTTCTTGAAGGCCATTGACCAGCCACGTTTGTTGTTGTTCAAGCATCTCGACATATCTAAAAGGCGGCGGAGAGCCAGGTTAGCGATTGATACAACATGTCGAATGGGTGCAAGCTCACCCCTTGGGGTACACTTTGTCGTGAGCCTTCTTCCTCTCGCCAAAGACACAGATGGCATTATCTGTCCTGCACCGACCACATGGGTTGGATCCGTCACACTGCACCGGGTCAGTGCATCAGGACAAGCTGATGCTGAGCCATGGCTTGGCTTACCTTGGATTTCTTCAGTCTACACCGATCGCAAGCCTTACAGACCCTCTTGCGGACATTGCCGTCCGAATGTGAGTGGTCTGATGTAGGTGATGATTGGCGTGCCGTCATTGTGCGCATATATATATACTTATGGAGGTTGAAGGAGGTTTGGTTGCGGGTATTGAAAGGCAGTTGTGGCCAGAGAAATCGAAAGAGTATCTTCCCAGTCAAACAAAAAGGTGAAGATTAAAAAGAGTATCGAAAGCGCGAGTTCCAGTTCCGGTGGTTAGTTTTGTAGGCTAACTAGTCGGCTTTGCTTTTTTTTTGTTTGTTTTCCTGTTCTTTCGAAGTCTGGTTTCCCTTTCTTTTTCTTATTGCTTTTCTTATGCCTTGTCCTCGCCTATACCTTTTTTTGTGGTGCGGTGTTGCAATGGTCAGTGATCGACAATACGTAAGATTGGTCGATGATGTAACGAGGCCGGATGGATAAAGGTAAAAGAAGGTGTAATGAGCAGAGAAGGTTCAGAGGGTTCGAGCCAATGCGAGAGCTCGATCAAGACAACCGCATGTAATGATTAATGATCAAGTTGAACGGTTCCAAGGACAGGATAGCGTTACAGCGATCCACCGGTGGTTGGGCTAAAGGCAAGGTGCGTAGTAGAAGGTGTGGTAAAGAGGAAGTATATCTGGGGAGGGGAGAGAGAGGCCAGGCTTGACCAAACCGGGAGGGTCGAAGCTCTTTTAACTAGATACAGGGGAGGAGTAAGACGAGGGCGAGGTAAAGTCAGAGTGATGATGATTGATTATGATGATAATAATAATAATTGCTACTTCAGATGGGCCTGGATGATTATTTATTCGAATTAGTCTAGTCCCCATGGATTTCTTTTTTTCATTTTCTTATTTTTTTTTTAATTTTGATTAAAAATAATAGTAAGGTTGGCGGTCCTTCACGTAGGAATGGTCGCCGTCTTACCTTGGGATTATTGACGCAGTCCAAAGGGACCAGAATGGATCGGGTCTGGCGGCGCTGGCCGATCATTGGCCAGCCGCTAGAGGTCTGGAGGTTTATGCAGTGGAGCCCTTTCCTCTGTACCGTATTGACCTCGTATTAGCTGTTCCCTTTAAACCTGCACCGTATCATTCATAACTTTTCCTGGTACTACTACATTGCTTACTTGCTTGCTGCCTGGCTGGCTATCGTCACACTTGTCCACTTCTTTGAGGGGACAGCGGAAAAATATTTTCTACATGAACCGGGTTAAATTCAAGGCACATATGAATTTTAAGATTTGATCCAATGTGGTGCTCCAAAGCTTCGCCTGCCTCTGCAGCCACAGCGTGTCAATTCCCTGCCCATACTATATGTTGGTAGGTACCTCCAGGTTAACTGAGGTAGCGCTTTCCATACTGTGTAACCATACGTCATAACCAATACGTGGACGGAACCCTGCACCGTTTGTATGTAATGTATCTTACTTGATACCGAGGAACAAGTTGAACGGATAACGGAAGTAACCAGCCCAGACGGACGTGCTGATTGCCTGAACCGGCATCGGAGACTGCTTGACTCGGACCTCGGAGGTGCCAACTTCCTTTTTGTGCTTTAGGGAAATTTCCTCATTGAGATGGATTTCTTTTTTATTTCCCTCATGTAGAGAGGGGCCCCCAAATGATTGAAAAACCTCAATGGCCCACCTCAAGCCGTATATCCGATCGGGACTATGAACAGGTACCTTCAGTGAACGGGAATTTCCCTTCATCCTACCGTAAGGTGTCTGCCTTGGCTAGTGAGGCCCTACTTTTGGACTACTACTACTGTTGGTTAAGTGGTGGAAAAGATCTTTTGAGGACGAAAATGAGGGGGGTGGGAATACGTGGTCAATCACGAGGGTGAACTTAGATAGGAGAGACTAGAGTGTAGGTAGCTATAGTTACTTCGCGGCCGATGTGCATTTTACCTGCACCAGCGTGGGTGATGTTAGAGACTCAATCTGAAGCCAGTTGTACCTTTTCCGATGTTCAGGTACATCCACAAGTAGCTCTAGTCTCAGAATGCGGTAATTCTGCGATTTGATGCAAACCAGCTTTGAGGGAATGACAGCCCAAGCTTGCATAGCCCGGCATTACGGCACAAGAATATCCACCCCGAATTTATTCGCATAATAAATATATATATATATATATTTTTTATTTCTCAAGCTGACCCAACTCGGCAAACTCATGCCGAACGGGAAGCTTTCGAAACCAGCATCCACTGTTCTGGTGCGGTATGTACTAAAGATGTATGGACCACTGGGTGGTGGCTCCATAATGAAGATTATGAACATTACCTGACACTGACAGGGTCATTAACCCAGCTCAGGTCTCATCCCCCTTCGACTCCATTCAAGTGCATCGTCAAAACCCCGATTCGGCGATCAAACACGGATTCCTTTCCCCGTCCGATATCTCTGATCGCTGCTATTCTCCTAGTCCCCTTCATAGTAGTACAAGACCTGTTGATCACCAGTCTTGGCGATTGGCGTTTTCCTTCGAAAGCTTAACGGCAGACCGGATTGATTCCAGTCCTTCTTTGCCACACTGCCTGCCGCCAGGTGGATGGAGCAGGGAATGCCGAATCCCGCGTTAATCCAATCGTCGGTTCCGATTATCGTTCGTGATCGGCTTTAGTTTGGGATGATTCAATAGCCCGGTCAATAATTGTTCTCTTCCCAATTTACTTTTTCTGTTTTGAAGCAGCAGCAGCAGCAGCTCCTCTCCACCACGAGGTGCCGTTGGAGCTATCCGCGCATGACAGTCAATGACGTTGATCATTTCTCCGATGGACCATGCCACTTGCACGGTCGCTGGTCTGATTCGATTGTTCCCCTGTCATTATTCCCCTCCAGCTTAAACCTGTTGTGACAACAGGACATGATTAATTAATTAAACCTAACAGGCTAGTTCAAATGTTTGTCTACTGCTCTCGAAGCCACTTCAATTTGCCGAGGTATTGTGCCCGTGTCCATAGCTGGTTTGACCGTCCGTAAGTGCCGCTGGTTCAGCTCAGGGATTGACTTCATGCTTGCACCACTGCGTCGGGTGCTATAGAGTGGCAGATAAGGTTTCTGATCCTGCGATCAATGACCGCTGGACTGTCCTCTTTGCATGTTGATCCATGCCCGTTTTCTATGATGTACCAATAGATGCTCCATCGAAACTGCCGACCATCGCTTAATTCCCGAAGCGGCCATACTACTCGGGCTTGAACCTTGCACCTGGAGCATGATCGATGCTGGTTCTTGCTTTCAGGGGTCGACGAGTGCAGAGAGTATTCTGCTGCCCACAGCCAAACATTGGTAGTCGATTACAGATCGCTGATACATTGCTACTCTCTCGGGTCTAGACCATGCGATAGTGTGCAGCCCGCCGGCCATGATAGCGTCATCCCGCAGTGCTCTACCAATGTTGACCCCACCACTACCACTGCTGACATGGGTGCACTCGACTCGGTTTTCCACTTCCGTCGGGATGCGGCAGGGATACCATGAGTGCCGTGAGAGGTTGCTGATAAGATAGAGCTATGCATTGTCTGTCCCTTGTCGACCGGATTGCAAGTTAGTCCTGCACAGGGGTGGTGGTGAGCAAGCTTAGCCGGTGACCTCATTGTTGATTAATCTATGTTCCGGGCCCTGCTCTGCTCCTGTGACAGCCATAAAGTTCATCTAGCGACTAGTGTCGTGTTTTCTCGAAACATGCCGATCTATCCGTCTATTTATGGTTGACTAAACGTCACGAAAGTAGATGATGGAACTTGCATTTGTGATGCATCAACAGGTTAACGATCAAGAATGAAGTCAGCTGGATAAGTAGTTTACAAAAGGGGGTATAATGTGGAATGTTAATACAAAGAAGGACGGACAACCGCGATAGGCAGACCTGCAGCCTAACAACAACTCATGCGCTTCCATATGCTTGCCTTTGCAGGCTTGGATGGCTTGTTCTGCCCCGACCCAGGTGCCTCTGATCGGAGATGGCCCTTCTCGCCCGAATCCTGACGTGCACGTTTGTCTTTCCCAAAGAATCCACGAAGACCACTCTGTCGTTTCTGCGTGCGCTTCTGCGATTCTCCCTTGCCTTCCTTGCTAACAACCGTGTCGGCAGGGGTTTTGGCAGCTGTCGAAGACTCGCCAATATGAGCCGCTTGGGTGGCCTCAGGACCCTTCTGGTAGTGTAGTCGGCGGGCCTCGACGACCCGACGGACTAGGACTGCGAGAGTGTCAGCTTCTGGCAAACGTATATGCCTGGCTCGATAGTGGTGAGAGGCTTACGAGCAAAGGTCTCCTCAATGTTGACCATCTCCCTAGCGCTGGTCTCCATGAAGCCGCAACCGTGTTTTCGGGCATACTCCAGGCCTTCGCGGGAACTAATGACTCTGCTGTCTTTCAGATCGCACTTGTTCCCTGCGATGATCTTGACCGGAGGTGGCATGCCCACGTCGAGGCCCTCTGCGCTCGCTCCCAATTCCTTGCGCAAGCGATCATTGTCCTCGGCGCGTTGTTCGGTCTCGATCTCGATCATGTCCATGAAGTAGTCCAAGGCGCCTAAGCTCGACTTGTTGGTGATGTCGTACACGAGAAGAAACGCGTCGGATCTCAGATTGGAAGCGGCCCATAAGCCGCGATACTCCTCCTGGCCGGCCGTGTCGGTGATGGATAGGAAGTATGGCACGCCATCAACCACGCGTGTAACCGAATATGAATCCTCTGGTACGGTTCAACCAATTCGCTCGCATGTCAGTAATTGTGAGACTGGATATAGCTTAGAGCAAGACCAGCAAGGAGTATATACCGATGGTAGGGTCGTATCTACCACATTGCTTTGGGTTAGCATGACGGACACTCCTCGATCACATATGATGCTCAAGATTGATACGGCAAGACTTACTCATGTATCCACTGGCTCCGCACCAGGCGCAAGGTGATGGATGATTTTCCTGGCGGCCATCAGCGATAAGGTCTTCCCTCTTGTAGCCCCGCAGTCCCTGCGCCGGGATGACGAAAGAACCATGAGGGTTCAAGAGATGGGGTTGCACAGCATACCGCATCCACCATCGCCGCAGATGGTGATAGAGATCTTGTCGGTGGCGTCGGCCATGGTGAGGGCGTGCGGATAGAGAGGTGTCGGGGATGCGCACGCGACGGCGGGTCCAGTAGTAACAAACAGAAAGAGAGAGACGAGGGTCAAAGGTTGTGTAACGAGCGAATTTTGACCCCGAAGCTAGTGGTTTAACCCGGTTTTCTCCTACCACCAAATGGTGGGAGCTTGAGTGTATCCCTTCGCGGATAATTTAAGATCGCGTCAAGTAGATGAAGATGCGACAGGACCCGAGAGGGGCGTTACAGGGGCAGCGGAGAGAGAGATCGGTAGAGTGGCCTGGCCCAACGGACAAAACACCGAGTTTGAGGATCGAAGTGAATTAATGGAGTATATAAAAAAAAAATATGAACGAAGTCTATCTGGCAGAAGTTGCGACTCGAGTTTTTCAAGCACTGACTCGGAGTAAGGGGGAAAAGAATGGGGGAGAAGGATTCCCAACGTGGGCAAATCTCAGACGCTGACGGAGCGAAGCGCCGCCCCTTTGGGGGTCCATTTCGGTGATTGCGGATGGCCGATCACTGGGTGACGAAGATGGATGATGGGTGATTGATAAGGGAGGATAGGATAGATTAATATGTCATCGTGGACCAGGAGAATTGATTAGGAGAATTGATTGTTGATGTCAAAAGACATCAAGATCAAGGGATGGATTGAACACTATGGAGAAATATGCGAAGAGAGAGAAGAGAGGGTCACCGGTACCCCGACATGCTGCAGACGCGGGTTGGGTCGTGCGGTACCTGGTACCTGTTCTAGATAACATTTATAGTAAGTTGTCAAATCAAATATGGAGTATATCAACCATAGTATATAAGTAGTTTTATTTATAACTTGGAGATTGTTATTGATTTCTCAATTACTATTCTACTTGATCCCATGCCATATGCACAATTTCCACATCCAGAATCTCCCCGAAGACTGGTCCATCTGATGCCTCTAGTAACATTTTATCTTCGTCTTCCTCCTCTTTCTTCTTCTCCACATCCCTCTTTCTCTCTTCCTTAATTAACTTCTTTCGATCCATCACACCGACCAGCTTGACACATCATCCCGGAATCTTCTGGCCTCCCGGGGTCGACTGGCCCGCCCCGCCACTTGCCCGGCTGATTTGGCTGCTGCGATCCAATCGTTCATCTTTCTTTTCTCTTCCCTTCCACTTGGTACTTGGTGTGTGGATAGTACTTTAGTGCTCCTAACCAAGTACTACTGCTGCTGCTGCTGCTGCTGCACTGCGGCGAATACAATGCCCCATCTACGATTATTCCATTGTCTGGATGGTCTCTCTCTCTCCCCCATTCCCCTTTCTTAAATTCTCCGACCCTTGCGACAAAAGAAATAGCAGTACTTGCCTTATATATTGGGGAGCAGCCGTAATATTGATTGATTTTGTGATATTAAGCCCCCGGCCGACCAGTGAACTTGCTAGTCGTTTCCACTCTTCGTCCGTCTCTTTTCAGCTGCTCTGGCTTTTCCCCTCTTTTATTTTTTTCCCCATCTCAGCGTGGATTCAATCTGTCCACGTCTGTCCACACCATCTTCCAATCGACCTCTACTGTTTTCCCTGGATTGATTTCCTACTATTCCGATAGGAGGGATTGGGGCCTGATTCGGGGCCTTGGGAGCAATTCTCGCCCCTCCCCTTGTTCAGATCAATTCCGGGGGATGGTTTGCGTGACTGTCTAAGGTTTACTCTGACCTGCTTCACATCAGCAGCCCATCTCGATGCGTCTTCCTCATTGGTCTCCTGCCGCCTCTCGATTCGATCGGACGTGAAGCTGCCAGTTCCAGGTTTGTTTGTTGCGGGCCATGGAAGGCTTCGACGATGCCTTCTATCAGGCACACTATTCCATGCCGGATCCCCAACTGGGCCCCGCCGCATCCTCTTCCTCCTACTCTAATGCTGCCCCCCATCCGGCTTCCTTGATGTCGTACAATCCCACTTCCGGCCACTTTCCTCCCGGTTCCTTTGCCTATCCGGCCCAACCCTCCGATCTGCTGGCTGCTGGCCTGCCCACGACCTTTGCGTCGCACCCCGATAACTTTTCTTTTCAGTCTCCGGTTCCTCATGCTCCTCATCATCATGCTTCTCCCCACCCGGCCAGTTTCCCGGGGCATGTTCCCCACGCCATGCACCCCTACCATCCCCTGTCGGCCGCCGCGCAGTCCATGCCAATGGGCATGGACCAAGGAACTGCCTTTCCGTACGATCCCGCCGTCTTTGGCGCTTCTATTGGACCACTAGATCCAAGTCTAGAGCAGCATTCAGCATCGCAGCATCCTCACTTACCTTCCCAGACCGTTCATCTGGATCCAGGCGCGGCCTACGCGGTCGCACAGATCCAGGAGTCCGCCACAAATACCTACTGGAATCAACAGACGACGACACAGGATGTCAGCGCCCAGGCACAGTCCGCAGGCCCGGCCCGCGGGCCATCTGGGGACTTCTCCCGCGCAAGAGGGCCATCCCAGGACCATCAACCGCTACCCCAAAGCCAACCCTCGGACTTTCAGTCCTATGCCCAACCGGCCAATCCAGCCGTTCCTCATCGCTTCATCCAGCCGAAGAGGTCATCCCCAGTGAAGGGTGGGTTCTCCTCCAATCCAAGTCGAACCTGACCGGAAAAGCTGATGCGGGTCTTCTACGTCCATGAAGCCTCCTTTCCACCCCAGGCTAAAGTGGAAGCCGAAAGCGACTCTCCATATGCTAGTATCTACTCGACAAGTGGCTTTGATATCATGGGGGTTCTGGTAGGTTGCATGCTGGTCGACCGCTTCCGCAGCAGCGTTTGAGTCCGGAAGAGGTACACTCTCGCTTCACATGTATGTGGCTGACCTCTCTCCTATTAGGCCCAGGTGGTGTCCCGGCCGAACCCCAAGATCAACATCGGGGCAGTTGACTTGTCGTGCGCGTTTGTTCTTTGTGACATCACGCTGGAGGACCATCCGATCGTCTACGTCTCGGAGGCGTTCGAACGGCTTACGGGCTACACCAATCAGGAGATTGTCGGGCAGAATTGTCGGTTCCTCCAAGGGCCGGATGGGGTCGTTCAGCGGGGCATGCAGCGCAAGTTTGTCGACGAGAATACGGCCTATCGCCTGCGCTCGACGATAGAGGAGCGGACGGAGATCCAGGCAAGCATTATCAACTACCGCAAGGGCGGCCAGCCTTTTGTGAACCTCATCACGATGATTCCGATCCGATGGGGCGGCAGCGACTACCGTTTTTACGTTGGGTTTCAGGTGGACCTGGTCGAGACGCCCGATGCAGTGACGCGACGGAATCCGAGTACGTCCTTTATGTGGTTGGGTTGTTTTTTTGATGCTCCTAAGCTAACCATTTCTTTGCAGACGGAACGTACATGATCAACTATCAGCGCAGTCAGTTACCGAGCTATGTGGTTCCGTCTGAAGTGTACCGCTCCAATCCGGATCTAGCTACGTTCTTTACTCCTGATCAGGTATCCACGGTGTTGGAAAGCCTGCGCGGCAGCGGACCTTCGTACCGACATTACCTGGACCGGGTGCTGGTGGAGAACATGGACGATATCATCCACGTTCTATCTTTCGAGGGAGAGTTTCTATATCTGTCCCCCTCGTGTCAGAAGGTGCTGGAGTATGAGCCGGCTGAACTGGTCGGAAAGGGCCTGTCAGCCGTATGCCATCCCAGCGATATCGGTTCAGTCATTCGTGATCTACGAGCCCGCATCACCACCGAGCCGGTCAGCGTGGTGTATCGCATCCGAAAGAAATACAGTGGATATATCTGGTTTGAGAGCCATGGATCATGGCACATTACCGATCGGGGGCGACAATTCATGGTGCTTGGAGGGCGAGCGCGTGCGGTTTACAATCTTGATCAGGTTGCTGCAATTGGCCGAGGCGGGTTGGCGGAGAATGACATCTGGGCCAAGCTTTCGATGTCGGGGATCGTCCTGTTCATCTCGTCAAAAGCTCGGCCGGTTTTGGGTCGTGTGGCGGACGATGTCATCGGAAAGAGCATCCAAGATCTCACAGGAGCAGATACCCGGGCCCAGGTCATGGCGGCGCTGGACACGGCTCGTTCGGGGCAACAGATCTCGTTTCTCCACAAGGTCCGCCACAAGAAGGGGCATATGCTGCCCGTGCAGACGACATTAATACCTGGCGACAGCAAAGAAGGGGAGCGACCTTCCTTCCTAGTCGCCCAGTTGCGTTTCCACCGGCCTTTGCCGAACGGCAGCCCGGACGACACTAGCTCCAGCTCCACGGAAACAGCGCGAGACGCTGTTGCTGGCCAGACAGGATCGGTCAGTCGGTTACCAGCCGGCAATCAGGAACTCATCCCTCTACGCGAGCGCAGCCTTTTCACCGAGCTAGCACCGACCAGAGGATCAAGCTGGCAGTTTGAGCTACGAGAACTGGAGAAGCAGAACCGCACATTGTCGGACGAGGTGCAACGACTCCTTACACGGCGGAAGAAGCGCAAGCGCAAACAGAGCACAATTATAGTGGAGAAGAGCTGCGCGATGTGTCGGACGAAGAGCACGCCAGAATGGCGACGCGGACCCAGCGGCAACCGCGACCTATGCAACAGCTGTGGCTTACGATGGGCGAAACAAGTCCGTAATGCCGCACAGGGACAGACTACCGCGGCCCGAGGAAAACGGTCGTGATGATATCCATATTATATTACACACCCCCCCCTCCCTTTTTTTTGGATTATATCTCTGTGGGATACGGGTGGCTTTCTACGTTTTAGTGTGTGGCTGTCTGACTTGAATGTGATTTGAAGTATATTGAACATTTCAGGATATATGATATGATGATACCTTGTGGGGGTGCTTGCTGGATTGGGGGGAAATAGGGAATGGCGTGACGAGTCACGATGGATGAATGGACGGATGGCGGCGTCGGGGAGGATTCTGTGGACTTGATCGGAGATGACCTGTACAGTGTATATTAGCTCTTCTTATATGCTATTTAGTATATCTAGTGACCGGGATTTATCGGTGATATGCCGGCAAGCCCTTTTAGCCTGTGGGCGCAAATTGACGAGTCAAAAGTGATCCATACATGGTTACTATCTTGATTTGACTAATGTACATATATGCATGCAGTCCATCCCCATCTATCCATATGATACACATAAGCAGTAAGTATACAGAGGGGTAGTATACATCCAACCCTAGTATTGCTAGTTACTGAGCAATCCACCTCTCCAACCACCTCCTCTCCTCCCTCTCCGCCTCCCATCCCTCTCTCACACCTCCAACTCCAACACCCACACCCCCCCTCTCCTCCACCGCAATGCGCACCTCCTCCCCCTCCATCTCAGCCACCCCCCCACCCCGTCGAATCAACTCATCATCACACTCCAAATACTCCGCATAGCGTCTCAACCTGCCCCGATACACCACCCCGACCAACCACGCGGGTCTCTCATACGACCTAGCCAATCCCAACGCCGCACAAGCCCGCAGCACCTCCCCGGCCTCCGCACCTTCAATCCACTTCCTATCAACCATGCGCTTCAACACACTCATCTCGTCCTGAGACCCCGTCTCCGGCGGCGTCACTGTTCCCGGGGAAACCAACGCATCGCGTTTCGCCCGCGCCCGCTTCTCCCGCTCCTTCTCTAGCTGTCGCGGAATCCGACACGTTAGGGGCGTGATGGCGTTGCCGAGAGCGAGCACAGCCAGCGGGGTGAGTTCCCCGCAAATGATCAGGATGAGGGAGAAGGGGATCATGCGACGGATGTCGTGCGCGGAGCGGCGGAGGAGTTGGAAGTGGGAGCGGTGGAGGGAGTGAGTCTGTAGAGTCTGGTAGAATGGGATAGCATCCTTGGTGGTAGATGATGGTGGTATAGAGCTCGGGACATATGGTGATAGGTTCAAGGTCCGGCGGAGAGGAATCGCGGCGCGGTAGTTGTGGTAAACGTTTTTTAGACCGGTTTTGTAGAAGGTCAGGTATGCGCGGCCGATGGTGATGTAGCGTTTTAGTTTGGCGGATGGGGGGAGGGGAGTGTTTGGGTCTTCTGGTGACGGAGGGAGAGCGAGTGAGGCGGGTCGGGTGCTTGGGGGTGGGTTTAGAGAGGTGAGGATTGCTGTGGAGGTTGTTGTGGTTGGGGTGGTGGTGGTGGTGGTAGTGGGTTGGGCGGCGGAGGAAGGGCGTGTGTGGGATTTGCTGTTGGATTTTGATTTGGAGTGCGAGGCGTAGGGGCGTACAGAGAGGAGGGTGTAGTTGTGGTGGTGAGGATGTTGGTGGATGAGGCGAGACGCGATGGCGGTGGTGAATTGGGGGGGATGGAGGAGGACCCGCGGGGGGTGCAGCGCGGATGGCATTGCGCTGGAGGAATTGGATGCCAATTGAGGGAGAGTTGTAGAGTAGAGAATGTGGTGGTGTGAATTGAATGGTAGGAAAGGTTGAAGAAGTTGGAGATGAAATGAGATGTGATGGGATTCCGGGGAGAGTGGTGTGGGTGCCTCAGGCATAGGGGACTTGCTCGGATCCCCGCGGGGACCGATGTCAGTAGATCGTTGCTAACTATATAGAACAAAGCTGGATGGATAGATTCCTATGGAATATGCTATTGTCAGGAGAGTAATACTTATTATCATCTACCAGTAGCTGTTGTGTCAAGGCGAATGCGATGCCGGACGTATATATTCCTTCAATTTGAAAAGGATCACTGGCAACACTCTGGGAAGCCAACATCAATTATGTAATTTAGAGATGTTATCATAACTAGTATATAACCGTAAACCCTATTCTATACTGCTATATTCAAGATAGTGACTCACGGNTACAATTAAGTTGACAACCATTCAAATATTAGTCCAATGACTCACCATCTCGCTAGCAGTACTCCATAACTAGTCTAGACCACTATATAAGCTACTATATAGATTACTTGGTTTTCACCACCCTCATTGACTATCCTCCACCTCACAACCTCCCCAAACTTTCCACAACTGCTATACCAAGCACAACCATGCCCCTAACATTCAACCACCCCACCGCCCTCCTCCTAATCGACAACCAAAACGGTTTCACCCACCCAACGCACTGGGGCCCGTCACGCTCGAACCCCAACTACGAGACAAACATCCAATCCCTCCTGACCACCTTCCGCAACACCCTCACATGTCCCACTGGATCTCCCACTCATCATGAAATAATCCACATCTTCCACTCCTCGACAACCCCCACCTCGCCCCTCCATCCAATCTACATCACTCCCACCGGAGAAAAAGGCATCGACCCTCTCCCTATCTGCATGCCACTCCCAACCGAGAAACAGATCTGGAAACATGTCAACTCGTCATTCATCGGCACGGAACTGGAAGAATATCTCCGCGAGAAGGGAATCAGACAATTGATTGTGGCTGGGTTGACTACGGATCATTGTGTGTCGACGACGGTGCGGATGGCGGCTAATTTGGGGGTTGTGGATCGACCAGTTAGAACTGGGGGTGAGGAGGTGGATAAAGGACGGATTGTTCTTGTTAGCGATGCGACTGCTACGTTTGCCAAAGGAGGGTGGGATGCTGAGACGGTGCATCAGGTGTCGGTTGCGAGTTTGGATGGCGAGTTTGCCGAGGTGGTTGGGGTGGGGGAGGTGGTGGGAGCATTGGATCATTATTCTGCTTCGAGCTAGTAGGCAAATATAGATAGATATATAGAGGGTATATTATGATGATGGTGTTGGTGTAGGTACTAGAATTATCCGGGTTGTTGACTGATTATTAAAATAGGCTTGTTACAACGCCACATCCATCGCAATCATACTCTCTGAGACGAATCCCGTCACAAACAATCTCGCCTTCTTCTGCTGCTGCTGCTGCTGCTGCTGCTGCTGCTGCTCATCTGGCAACGGTACCAGCAGCGCCGCGCTGGCACTCCGAATGCGTGATCCATCGTCCTCAAAAAGCAGCCGCGTCTCCCATTCCGCGGGTGTAGTATCAGCCTTGCGCCGCGTATACCACACCATCACCCCGTCCTTGCCATTGGGATCCGTGCGCGTCTTCTCCAGGTCCACGCCGCGAAGCAGTCCACCCTGCACATATCCGCTGGCATCGTCTGTGGCCGTTGCGTACGGGTCCTGGTAGTAAGTGGGGTTGTCAATAGTGCTATCAAAGGCGAACTCATCCACAACCGACAGCGTGTGGTCATCCTGCGGCCGCATACGCCACATGTAGCCGCCCGCAGCGCTGGTGAGAAGCACTTCCTCGCGCGAGGAGCCGTGTCCGAGACCATTGGCGTTCCAGAGATGCTCGAAGGCCACGGTTGCCTTGCGTTCCGTGTCCGCCGGGACCGCGGCGAGACTGTCGAGCTGGACGTGGATGACGGTGGACCATTTGGCGGCGGGGAGTATGTTCTCGACCGTGCGGAGAGCCCCGTCGCGGTAGCGGTGGTCGTTGGTGACGTAGAAGGAACGAGGACTTTCAGCGTAGATGTCGTTGGGGGTAATTATGAGTGGATGACGGATTGAGCGGACATGCCGGACGGTGCCGGAATGCAGGACATGGTGGAAGAGCTCGACCTGCGAGCGGGCCCTGGGGATGTCCTTGAGGCCGGGGTGATAGTCGGGGTTGGCGAGATGGTTAACGGCGAAGATGTAGACGGCGTCTGCGCGCTCCGGATCTTCGGTGATGTCGATGCCGTGGGTGACGAAGGGGCCGGAAAAGTTCTCAAATGTGAGACGGGTGGACTTCAGTGTCTATCGAGCAGGTGAGTCTTCTGCTGGCTCATGACTATGGGTTACGCTAGGGGATACATACCTGCGGATCAATCACATGAATAGATCCCTTTGTGTCCGCAGGCCCATCAAAGTTGACCAAGGGTGGAAACCACCGGAACCGGGGCACGATGGAGTCCTCGCAGGCTGTGAAGAGCTGACCGGCCGGTTGGTAGTAATGCAGGTCCTCACAGTGAATGGTATCAGCAATTGGGTGGACAGGGTTGCTCTGGGAGCTGGTCGTCTCGCTGGCGGAGCGAAACGCCCCTAGCACTTTGAGCTCGCGAGTCACTGGCCCATACAGCGAGGCGAACAGAACGGCGACGATCGCCAGGTTGATATAGCTTTTCATCGTGAGATGCTGGATTAAGTCGGCATGTAGCTGGGGAGAAAAAGAAAAAGAGAAATCATAGAAGAAAAAAGAAAACAAGAACAAGGGAGGGGGGCAGGTAAGGAATGAGCACGAAAAAAAAAATAACAAAGCGGGGGAGCCGAGGATAGATGAACCGACCAAGTAGATGCATTGTAACTAGCATAAGCATCATCCACCACCACAACATAGAATGCGGGGATTGACGTTAACCAGCCTGTTGTCATTGGCGAACCCACAGCCGACCATCATCCACTGTGGACCGACCAGCTAGTCCAGCCAAAGACGCCAGTGAAGATCGTCGCGGTGATCATCCATGGGTCGGGGTTACGGTCCAGTTCCTAGTACGAGGTGAAAATGGAAGTGAAGTAAAGAGAAAATGAAATGAGAGCATACATTCAAGCCTAATGCCGAGCTTACAGCCAATTCATCCTTCCCAGGGTTTTCCTTCGCCCACACGCAAATCAAGCTAAAAATCACACGCATATTAATTCATCCTGTCCGACTGAAAAAAAAAAAAAAACTCCTTTGTTTCCCCGTCCAAGAAATCCGTAACTCATGGCTCGCTGTCTTCGCTCAGCGCTGAGACTTGGCCTCCAGATATTCCTGGTCACTGGCGTCCAAGATGTCGTACTCCTCGTCCGTCAGCATACCCGCATCTGTCTCGTCCTCGCCTAGCGTCAGACTCTCCATGTCATCAAACACATCCTGCTCCGATGCATTCGTCACCGACGGGGCGCTGGGAGCCGTGGTGGCGGCCTCATGTGTGCTGGCCTCCGGAGACTCCTTGGCCAGCTTGGGGAAGATCATCTGGCTTCCGGCGGGCTCAGATTGGGCCTCAGGCTGAGACTCGATGGTCTTCTCCATCTCCGGTTCCGGTGCACTCACAGCGGGCGGCGGAACGTCATCACGCACGCGCACGTCACACCACAGCCGGTGACCAAAAGGCATGCCGTTGGGCAGCTTCAGCCGCCAGTACGAAATGGCGCTGCCCTGGCGGCTCGGGGTCCTGAGCGTCACAGTAAAGTCCGCACTGTGACCTGGCTCAAGCGGCTCCGAGAGCTTGTTGCTCTCCATGGCAGCCGAGATGGCATCCATGCTCAATGGGTGGCTGGTATTTACGTTGAACATCGAATCGCCACCGACGAACCGCACATCCGTACCGGCAGGCCAGCTCAATGGGCCAGGGTTGAAGAGGGTCCAGGTCTGCTGGAAAGCGGTGTTGGGCGGCAGCGTGGTGTCGTCCGGCACAGTGTCCCGGATGAAGAAGGCTTGATAGCCGGAGGCCGGGTCAGCTGATGTCGGCTGTTCGACCTGGACCGGCTGCTGTGCAACGGGAGTCGGCTGTTCCACCGGGGCAGGCTCCTGGACAGGCTCTGCTTCCGGCTGGGACTTCTCCTGAACCGGTTCGACCGGAACGCTGGCTTGGGTAGAAGTGGATTTCTGGGCACGGTCGCCGAGGGCGCAAGTAGCTCCACGGTCTTCTTGAACAGTGCTGACGAAGACGTTGTGCACAGGTGTCTTCAGCATGACCATGGGATGAGTACGGTTGTGCGTGTTGGTCGGGTGCACCTCACACTTGGCGCAGAAATCCGTGTCGTGACACACAGAGCACTTGTAGCGAGTTCCTGTGATGAAGCTAGGGCATGGCCTGTTCCTGCACAGAGGGCCGTCACAGTAGATGCCATAGTGCACCTCATAGCTTTGCAGGGGCTCGGCGATTGCGTCATAAAGCGGCGCAAACCGATGACCCGGATGGGTTTGAGCTGCTTCCTGGTGACACTCGGAGCAGTAGTCCCAGTCTGGGCAGGTCAGACACTTGTGCCGGACGCCAATAATACGCTAAGATAACGGTTAGCATCAAAGCAGTTAAGTAGAACAGTTCACAACCAACCTTTTCACAACCGTCGCAGATAGCAGCGTGGTGATGGTGGCGTCCAGGTTTGCAGCGAGATTGCACCAGGCTCTTCAAGCAGAATTGACGATCATGAATCAGCTTGAAGGTGTGGGCGGGGTGATGACCGTGTGTGTCTCTGAGAAGACAAGTGATGCAGATATCATAATCATCGCAGTCAGCGCAGGAAACCATCTTGGTTTCATCGAGTTCTGTCGGAGTTAGTCGATGGTGATAAGTTCAATTGAGGGATAGAACATACCCTTCAGGCAATCATTGCAGATGCGTTCCTGAGTGCTCTCGGGAAGTTCGGGGGCAGCCACAGGAGGCACTGGAGTAGCCTCAGACACCAGCTCTGGCACGGACTCTTCGAAGGTCTCTTCTTCTTCCTCTTCTGGTTCAGGCTCCTCACGAGCCTTCCGGGGCTGAACTGTCTCAGTGGTGCTGTTGGTGACCTGGCCATCCTTGACAAGCCGCTTGATCAACCAGTGTTCGTCATCGAGACAAGCCACACCGGCCTCAACACACTGGAGACACAAGTCGTAGTCGCCGTCGTCACAGATGCTGCAGTGATAGTGCTCGTTCGGGATGGAGCGGCCACAGTGGTTGCAGTCAATGCAGAAGACTCCATTGGGCGATGCGTGCGACACCACTGGCATATCCAAGCTGTCCTGACCCAAGACAAATTCACGGAACTGAGGTTCAGTCGTCTCAGGGGCCGACCATTGGGCGGACCGAGACTCAGCAGGGATGGTGCCACTGGCGACCTCGGGCAGAGCCGAGGCAGATAAGGACGCACTAGCAGGAACACTTTCAACTTGAGACTCAGGGAGAGGAGCACCCAAGACAGTCTCGAGGTAACTGTACCTTGACGCATTCTGTGGTTCGGGGAGGTCTGCCGCCAGCTGTGGCTGGGAGACGGGTTCCTCAGCCGTTGTGGCCTTGATCCG